ATTCTACTGTATATACATTCGATAGAGAATTTTACTGGCTACCAAATGAGCTATAACATATTATTCTAAAAGTTTGTCTTCATATATGTGTTGGACTTGACAGATATCTCGACTTTTTTCCTATAGTGGCACATAAAAATGATTATAGTTTCTTCTACACACAGATATTAGGAGTTTGTATTTAGGAACTGAAATGGCCACAGAATGGTATATACCGTATTCTTTCAAATCGTCAGTTTGTTACACTTATGACCAGGATACCCAACGGATGTAGTCATTTTGATCTATTGAAGAATTATTTCGTAAGGTGAAAATTTTTTAATAAGAATAATAGGACTAAAGTCACCTTTTTAAACATAAGTATAAAGTAACAACTTTATTTATTTGAGATGTTTCGTTCTATTGTAGAATGGTGATTGAGATACAGTGTTGTATACAAAATCAGTTCGTCAACCATTTATATATTGAATAGTACATGACTGTCGCGATTTTTGTTTATCGTGACTCTCAAAACTATTGAGACAGGTTTATTTTTAGCTTTTATCATCGAAGGTAATAGCTACAACAAATGTGAGCACAGATTTGAATAATTCAAGGAGTTCCCAATCTAGTCTATGGCAAATAAAGATTTCGCTAAAATCCATAGGATTCAAGTCTTTTAAAAACCCTAACTCTAGAAACTTAAGTCCCGAATTCGAGTGAAAATTTTTTGTAATAGCCTCATCATGTACAGAAAAGGTTCCTGAGCAAACTAAGACGCCTTCGAGCTTTTTACAATGCTGTTTCACTAAGGAACATTTCATTTAACCCTTTACGGCCGGCTGCATACGCCATTTAGCAACAATATCCCCTTCTGCGCATATTCCTTTTCTGTCGACTGCCAAAAATTAACTAATAAAAATATTCCTCCCTTTATATTTGTTGTTTTGCTGTGACAGGGATCGGCAAAGTATATTCTTTTAGAACGAAATTCCTTTGACACTTAATAGATCGATGTTACCGGTAGTCAACACCCGGCCGTTAAGGGTTAAGAAAGGCCTCATGTCACCAAAATCAGCGAAATGAATCGAAAAACACGAAAAATATGTCTTTCATTTTTTACCTATAAATCCAACATTTAACACTGGCTGATGGTGTCCTGTGTTCTGTTACATAACCTTTCGCTTGTTTTATTTGAAACACACCTGAAGTGGATAGAAACTTTTAGCAAAGTTTTAAATCAAGTATAAAATAAGCTAGTCCTACCGAAAGTCAGATCTCGTAACCTGGTCCTCTGAAAGCTGTGGAAAGATACAGTCAGTTCCATCATTTAGAATAATGTGTTATAGCTCATTTGGTAGCCAGTAAAATTCTCTATCGAATGGTATATAAAGTAGAATGGTTAACGCTAAAATAAATGGATATTATAACATATTAAATGGTATTAGATTACCTAGTTCCATTTTCTTCTGAATGAATATATTATAAAGCGTTTTGTACCCCATGAAATTCTCTATCGAACGATGCGTGATAGTTGAGGCTTGCTGGAAGCGAAAGAGATGAAACAATGAGAATACTCTGAGTAACGTTCATTTACTGAAAGAAAAGTTTTCCAGGGGTCACTGAATAAAAGAAAAATAATGGAAGGTTAATCACGGACAAAAACTAGATCAGATCGGTTAATATAAGCTTGATCTGTGAGGGGGCTGAAGTTACCTACTATAGATCCCCGTCCTTTATGACAGAAAATAACGTAAAGTGTTTTGATATTTTGATATTTTTATTTTTAATTTTTATATAATAATAAAAGAGTTCAACATACAAGAAAGCGCTGAAGTTTTAAACGTAAGCGTAAATAGTTACAGTGTATTTTCACAAAGCTCAATAAAAAAAATTTCTTTGCTCTATATTCAATATGGACATGGTCACAAAATACCTTGAGGATATTTCGTCAGCTACGTATCACTACAATGGTGGTGAAATATTAGCAGAAAAATCAAATCAAAATATTTGTTTTCAAGTTGTTAACACATGTTTACAGCATTTAGTTGATGATGATAATGATAAACGATTTAGTGAAATATTTTGCCATTATAAGTATAGACGAGCATTTTTTATTATACAAGGATTAGCTTGGCAATTATTGTACAAATTAGAAGAATTAGAATCGATTGAATGTGATTATTTGGTTAATCTTGCAAATTTAAATATTAAAATTATTCATAATAAATATATTATCAACAAAAACTTATTCTATAAAATGTTTTTTGCAGTGAAGTACAATTCATCAAACGAACATGTGTTGGAATGTCTTCTACGTCATATTAAAAATATTAATAACATTAAAAATCCGTTATTTGTAAAAATAATTTGTTTATGGTTGGATACATTCAGTCATTATGAACTTGAAACCAGTGAGATTGTGAGTACCCAGCATGTTCTATTACTTCATGGTCGACCAGATGAAGAGAAATTGTTGCAAGATATTTTTAATTATATTATTACACAAATTGATTGTCTGCTTTTTAACTCTCTCCAGCGTGATGTTGCCATTTGGCAACGCTTTTTGCTGTGTTATACATCACCGCCGTACTATTGTGGATCTTTTCTGTTCTATTTGGCAGCTATCGGACGCTCCTTTAATCAAGAACTCTTATCTAAATGTCGTCAATTCACCATCACTCACACAAAAGACATTAATAAATGGTCATCATCATCAGACATGTTACATTCTATTATGGGAACTGTGTTCATAGTAACGACCAGTATTATAGGCGAGTATGATGAAAGATTTTATTTGTCACTATTAAAAATCATGAACTATAAAAAATTTCAACAACAATTATGTTCAACATGGAAAAATGACGAAACAATTTTAATTAGTGAAATTATCAGATATTTTGCCGATAATCTAAACATGCGGGAGTATGATGATTCTAGGTCCATACTGCGCACAGTTTCACACAAATTTAATTGTCTGTTTGACAAAACAATGCAGCATGAAATAACAAAAATTAATCTATGCTATATAATTCTAGAGACAGCAAACAAAAAATCTGTTATAGTTGATCAAATGATTATAAGATGTTTTGAATACATTGAAAATATGAAAATGATCATTAAAGATGAAGAAACAGTACACAAAAAAATAGAGAGATTATTAAAAGGATTAGAAACTGCATTTCAATATCAGTATGACATTAACGATCTGGTGGGGATATTAAAGAAAGTTGATCTATTAGCCGATTCAATTAATAAGCATCCGTGTTCCACTGACAATTTTCTATCAAAATCATCTCCTGATTCGATACATGCTGTACAGCAATTAAAAGAAAGGTTAACATTTAGGCATCACATGCAAAGCTCAGTTGCAAATGGAATTTGGGTCTACAGCGCATATAGACAACGGTATCCTCGCAATATGGTAAGTTTTTTTATGACAGATAAGTACTATTAGAGATGGGCACCGGGACCAAAAGATTTTTCTAAGTAAAAAGTCTGTTCTGCTATTCCAAGAAGTTGCTTAAAAGATTTTTCTGGTCCCGATAAAAGATTTGCGTGCCATTTCATTAACTTTAGTGGTAAATTATTATTTGAACACGTATTTTGCACAGAAATGTTTGCACTTCCAGCCTATAAATTTTAAAGTATATCACAGTCCTTTGTTATTAATTAGTTTAGCAAACACAATGATTGGGACCGCATTGTTGGGCCCAACTCGGACCAATCTAGTCCCGGTCATTATATTTGCTAAATTAATTAATAACGAAGACCTGTGATATACTTTAAAATTTATAGGCTGAAAGTGCAAACATTTCTGTGCAAAATACGTGGTCAAATAATAGTTTACCACTAAAGTTAATGAAATGGCACCCAAATCTTTTACCGGGATTAGAAAAGTTTTTTGGTCCCGGTGCCCATCTCTATTAATAAAATACTCTTCGACGTTCTCTATTTACTGAACGCCAAATTCTGTGACCAGTATGCAACGGCAGAATATGTATAGTATGAACTACAAATCGCGATGCTGCAGAGAGTAGCATAAAGCATATCGGCTGAGTGGTTATATATATAATATGATAACAAGTATACAGAAGTTTTTCTGTTATAATATGCTAAGTGTTAGAAATGCTTCCTTTATGTAGAAAATGCGAATTTGAATATTTTTTAAAAGTTTACCCTTACCGACCAGTATTTCAGTACTTTGATGGTACTGTTGCATGCCCACCTCCATTTCGTCTTTCACTCTTGTCTTTTAGAGTAACTCCAGTAAATCTGTTGCCAGATTCCGTCGTCCTATGTTAAGTATTGTCAGAAGGTATTGCAACGATGACGTTCGTGATAAATACGACATTGTAATTAGTTCCAGTGCAGACTCTTTTAACACAATCAAAGACGTTAAAGTAATTAAAAATCATTTAAACACATACACTTGCTCCTCTGCTTTTATTCTCAACGAATGTCTTGATGAAACGAGAAAAGAATATTTGATTTGTAACTCCAAGTCGATTATTGCATGTTTAAACAAAGATTATCACCATCATACAGAGCTTATCTTTGCTTACAAGAATCAAATACAAATTGTACCAGTTGTAATCCAAAATAATAGTGAGGAGGAATATCGTCCCAATAATCCGTTTCTGAAATTCATCGTTGAACGTTCATCATCAAATCTAATAAACCTAAATGAACAATTAGCGGAGTCGATAGTAACTGAACTCGAACGCCTTCGTTGTCAAAAGCAAAGTTCATTAAATACTCTAACGTTCAGTTCGTTAAACCAACAGACAATTTCTAAGACAATGAATGTGGTTACTCTCAGTCTATCTGATGATCGTCTTACTGGCAATGATCTTCACATAGAATGGACATTGGTACCTCGAGAACCATTCAAAAAACAAAATGCGATTCGAAATAAATTAAACGAATTTTTAAAACTATTGCAAACTAGTCCTAATAGTAGTACTGGAGAACGTAGTTTCGACTTAATTGTTTCAGACTTTTATTCGTATTTCAGTACATTACCATTAACGAATCATGAACAAGAAATAGTGAAACAATATTTGGACAAACTATTAGTATCCGGTAATGCAATCAGAGATCTCAGATCTTCTGATTTTGGCAGAAAATTCTGATTGTTGGAATTTATTCTGCCTTGTTTCTGTTCTTTTTTTCTACTAAGATGTTGTGATTTTCTGACTTCAAATTTCTTTTTCTGCGCATTTTCTGATTTAGAATTTTCATTTTCTGATTTTCATATTTTAGACTGGATGTCCATGAATCCAACATATATTGTAAAAGCTTACACGACTACGACCAGCTTTTATAAATATATTAATCAACATCTAGCAATGTATGGCCTTGATTACCTTGATCCATTGGCAGTTGATGTAAATGTGGATTATAGAATGGTTAGATGTCTACTGGATATTGTAGCTATACTTATGCATCATGATAAAATGAGACACTTTGAATTTTGTGGTACAACGTATCGTGGTATGCTAATTACTGAAGAAGACTCGTACAAGTACGTAGTTGGTTCAAAAATAATGAATAAATCATTTCTGTCCACAACAAAACTACGAGAAGTTGCCATTGTATTTGGTGGTGGCGATGGACAAGAGCAGTTTCTGGGAAAAACATCAGATAACAGACCGAAACAAGCTACAGCATTGTGCACATATACTATTAGAAACACGGGAACAGCATTGGACATCGAAACTCTATCTGAAGCCACATACGATGAAGAAGAAGTACTGATTCTTCCATTTTCAGCATTTAAAGTTACAAGTTTGACTCGATCATCAAGTCACTTCATTGAAATTAAATTAGAAGAATGTACAAATGACAAAATTGAGGAGGAGGAGGATGTTTTGGAAACTCATTTCTGATTTAGATTGTATGAAACGTTTTTGACTTTTGTTTTTGACTTTATAAGAAAAGACTTTCGATATAAAAACAACTTTCTTATAGTTGACTAAATTTGTGGATTAGCAATAGGAATAAATAATAACTACGCGACTTGAAGTGTGCAAAAGTGGCAAAGCGAAACTAATGGTATATTATAGCAAGACAGTCTCATGCCATTGATTACCTTGTTTGATTGAGAAAAATCTTATATAAGAAACTGATAAGATTTCTATGAGATTCTGTTAAGAATCTTATAGGAAGGATATAGTACAATTTCATCACATTCTTTTATGATCAGTACTCTATATTCTGCTTTCTTACTACAATTAACTGTTTCATACGTGAATAGAATAATTTTCTTTTCACTTATTTAATTTGCCTTGAAGGCCTTATTATCCACGTGGGACTAATAGTCCCACGTGGATAGTCTCATGGACAGTTCCGGACTCTCTAAGTCGTAGAAAATAGAGCAGCTCGAATACTACTAGTATGCATCAAACTCTTTTCATACTTGCCTGAATAAAGCACTAGAAGCAATCATAAAAGAACTTCATGTACCGTTAGTAACATGCCTCATCATTCATAACTAGTAGTCAAAGAAAAGATTTTCTTAATTGATCGCAACAGAAAATGTATCGAAAAACATTTTAATGAGTTGTTTCTAGCAAAATGCAAATCTCTCTCAGTATAATTCTGACAAAATTCTAGTAATTCTATGTACGAACTCATAGCATTTGATAGGTTCCTAAGCGATTTCCTGTGTTTCGTAGGATCCTATATGACGCAGGATTACCCATTTAGTTTGCATATAGTCATATAGTCAAACGCTTTAATTGATGTAAATAAAAGTTCGTTAACTTATCAAAATTTGATGAACTCTTCTAAACTAATTATATAATCTATCTTACTGAATTCTTATCAGAATCTTATAGAAATCTTGTCAATATCTTACGCATTTCGATCGAATGCCTTATATAAGATTTTTGTAAGATTCCTGTATAACTGCCGTAAGTTCAGTCGCCGAGGGATGCCTGCATCATTGTAATAAACTTTGATGTTTAGACCAATTCTCTACAAAATCCAATGGAAAGAGCTCTTCAAAAGGATAACTGGAAAACCATATCCGGTCAGCAATGCTATACTACAAAAAGATCCACTTTCAAAAGCACTTTTTTTTATCCGAATTTGAAGGAACTAGCTTCATCCGATGCAAACTAGATTTTCTAGTGTTACATGACCTAGCCGATTTTCCACCTAGCATGTTATGGGTCACGAATAGTATATAAGGAAATGAGGTACCAATAAGCCATTTTGGGTGGTGATAGC